CACACACACACACACACACACACACACACACACACACACACAATATAATATAATAAAGCATAAGAAGATTTATTAACTTTAATGTTAACAATGACTTTTAAGCCCCTTGAGCCTACTAACTGCTGTGTGCCAAAAATGTAAGTTACTAGACATATACCCGGTCTCTGCGATACCAGTCTACACTTAGTGCAGAGACCGCGAGACATCATTGGTAGAATAGAGTTGTTTAACTGACATCTGGCATAATTTATTAATACAAAGATCAAACACAAACAAAAATTCCTTCGATCGATGTCTGTATTCTTTTTATGATACTAAATGGTGGGACGGTCACGCCTGTCCATAACAGTTGCAGTGCCGCTCAAAGTGCACTGCCACTGCGCCCGTCATCCTGAGACATAAGTTGAAAAGTCCCATGTGCCTGTAATTTCACCAGCACCCTTACCCTTCAAATCCGGATTGCAGTTATGCTTACATTACTGTTTGGCGGCAGAAATAGGTAAGGCTGTGTGCCAAACTAGGGTCACTGTTCTACCAACTGAGCTTCAGATCGAGGCAGCAAACGTACGAATTTCTCTATGCGTTTGTTCTGTAAGACCTGTGTCTTTGTTTCAGATTTTAACGACTTTTTGCCATAGCGTCTTCTTCGCCAACTGTGAGAAATCTTCAGTATCTTGCTTTTTGATATGGTGTGTTGGACCTTGACCCCATTATGCTCAAAGCTGGAGTCTTTTGAGACGTGGCTGCATAGACGTATCCTTGGTATATCTTGGGTCCAAATGTTGGAAAGTTGGAAAAAGTTGGAAATACTCAAAACTGTAAAGGAAAGGAAGCTACAGAATTTTGGCCACGTAATAATCCGGTATCTATTGCCCCTCATTTTCATCAACTAATAATGCAAGGGGAAAATCCAAGGGAAGCGGAGTCGTGGCAAAAGGAAAATCTCGTGGTTGAAGAATCTGAGAGACTGGAATAGAGATTGAAATCTTAGCACACGTTCCATCTTTCATGCGGCAGTTTCAAAAACGAGGAAAATATGGTAATAAATAATAATGGTCACCAACCTTCGTAGAAAAGCTCCTCACTAATAAGAAGAGGTGAAATCTATGAAAGTTTATCTTCACTTAATCATGGTAGTAAAACATCATAACAATATCCATTAAAATCAATATTCCATCTTGCATATTATACTCTAGAAGGTAGAAACAGAGCTACAATAGTGTAGTTCTGTTTCTACCTTAATGACTATAGAGTCATATATAGTCTCAACTACGGGCACTGGTTTTATATGGCGAAAACTTACACAAGACAAATGACTTATGTGTTCTACAGTTAAAAAGCAAAATATTGCGCTCTTGGTGTAATAAAGCCACAACTGAAAATTGACAACTTTTCAGGAGAAAGGCTTCAAAAATTTCAA